GTCGCCTTGGGGTGCACCGATTCTCTTTGTAAGAAAGAAAGATGGATCGCTACAGATATGTATTGACTACCGTCAACTCAACAAAGTCACAATAAAAAATAAGTACCCATTACCAAGGATAGACGATCTGTTTGATCAATTACAAGGTGCTAAGTTCTTCTCCAAAATTGATTTACGGTCTGGGTATCTCCAATTGAAGATAAGGGAGCAGGATATTCCGAAAATAGCTTTTAGGACCCGATATGGGCACTTTGAGTTTCTGGTAATGTCTTTTGGGCTAACAAATGCTCCGGCAGCTTTCATGAATCTTATGAATCGAGTCTTCAAGCCTTTTCTTGACTCCTTTGTGATAGTTTTCATTGATGATATTCTTGTATATTCACGAACTCGAGAAGACCATGCCGGTCATCTCAAGGCAGTTTTACAGACTCTTTATCAGCACCAATTGTATACGAAATTCTCGAAATGTGAAGTTTGGCTTGAATCTGTTACATTCTTGGGTCATGTCTTCTCTAGAGAAGGAATAAAGTTGATCCTCAAAAGATTGCGACGGTAAAGAATTGGCCTAGACCTACAACTCCAATAGAGATTCACAGTTTCTTGGGCTTAGCTGGGTATTATAAGAAGTTTGTGGAGGGGTTCTCTATTCTTACCTCTCCGTTGGCTAAATTGACGTAGAAAGCGGTTAAGTTCCAATGGTCCGATTCTTGTGAAAGGAGCTTCCAGGAGTTGAAATCAAGATTGACTACGACACTGGTGTTGACTCTACCAGAGGGTACAGATGGGGTTGTGGTATATTGTGACGCTTCAAGGATCGGGCTTGGGTGTGTGTTGATGTAACATGGCAAGGTTATAGCTTATGCTTCTAGACAACTCAAGAATCATGAAAAGAACTACCCAACACATGACTTAGAGCTTGCGGTGGTGGTTTTTGCATTGAAAATTTGGCGTCATTACTTGTATGGGGTCCATGGGGATGTATTTACGGACCACAAGAGCCTTCAATATATTTTCAAACAGAAGGAATTGAATTTGAGGCAGAGAAGATGGCTTGAGTTGCTCAAAGACTACGACATTGATATTCTGTATCACCCGGGAAAAGCCAATATTGTGGAGGATGCTCTTAGCCGGAAATCTATGGGTAGTTTGGCTCATCTGAAGGCACGTCGAAGGCCATTGGCCAGGGATGTTTACCGGTTGGATTGTTTGGGAGTTTGTCTTGCGGACTCTAATGACGGAAGGGTGATTATGTAGAATAATAGGGCTGAAACATCGCTTGTGGCGGAGGTCAAGGAGAAGCAATACAATGATCCATTGTTGGTACAGCTGAAGGAGGGGCATAGACAAAAGACCACAACTTTTTCTCTTGGCATGGATGATGGTACACTACGGTACCAAGAGAGGTTATGTGTTCCAGATATTGATGGTCTTCGGGAAAGAATCATGGCGGAAGCTCATACTTCCAGGTATTTCGTGCACCCAGGTTCTACAAAAATGTATCATGATCTCAAGGAAGTCTTTTGGTGGAATGATATGAAAAGGAATGTGGCAGACTTTGTGGCAAGATGTCCAAATTATCAGCAAGTGAAAGCCGAACATCAACATCCTTGTGGGTTAGCACAAAGCATAGAAATTCCAATGTGAAAATGGGAGATGATTAATATGGATTTTTTGGTTGGGTTAGCGCACTCCGTGCAAGTTTGACTCAATTTGGGTTATTGTGGACTGACTCACGAAATCATCACATTTCTTGCTAGTCAAATCTACTGACACAGCTGAACAATACACTCAGTTGTATATCAAGGAAATAGTCAGGCTTCATGGCACTCCAATTTCCATCATTTCCAATCGAGGGGCTCAATTCATAGCTAAATTTTTGGAAGAAATTTGAGCAAGGTTTGGGCACGCAGGTAAATCTTAGCACAACCTTCCATCCACAGACTGACGGGAAAGCAGAGCGGACTATTCAAATGCTTGATGACATGTTATGTGCTTGTGTTCTTGATTTCAAAGGTAGATGAGATGACCATTTTCCACTCATAGAGTTTGCTTATAATAACAGCTTCCATGCTAGTATTCAGATGGAACCATTTGAGGCATTATATGGGAGGAGGTGTAGATCTCATATTGGGTGGTTCGAGGTTGGAGAAGCTAAATTAATAGGACTAGAACTCGTGTATCAGGCCATGGAGAAGGTTAAGATCATTAAGGAGCGGTTGAAGACTGCCCAGAGCCGTCAAAAGTCCTATTCGGATGTTCGTCGGAGAGACTTAGAGTTCAAGGAAGATGATTGGGTATTTTTGAAGGTTTCCCCCATGAAGTGTATTATGCGGGTTGGAAAGAAAGGGAAATTGAGTCTGAGGTATGTCGGGCCATACAGAATCATTCAGAGGATTGGTCAGGTAGCATACAAGCTTGAGCTACCACCTGATATACCATTAGTGCACCCGATATTTCATGTGTCTATGCTGAAGAAGGGGATCCGTCGCTTATTGTGCCAGTTGAGACTATTGAAGTTAATGAAGAGGTGTTATATGAAGAAAATCCATTTGCCATTCTTGATAGGCAAGTCCGGAAGTTAAGAAATAAAGAAATTGCCTCCGTAAGAGTGCTATGGCGAAACCAACAGGTTGAAGAAGCTACATGGGAAGCCGAGGAAGAAATGAAAAAGAAGTACCCTCACTTGTTTGAATAGCCATGTAATAGTTACTATGAAGTTACTTCCTATAAATTTTTTTATCACTTGTTCAATTAATGTAAAACTGTTCTTTTGGGTTATATGATGCTTGTGAGGCCACAGTTGGTATTGTTATGAGCTTTGTTACGTCGTTGGGTTGTGCATATATTTGTAAGATGTGTTTCGGGGGCTCTCTGACAGGTGGATATGCCTAGTTACAAAGGAAACTCTAGCGAAATTTTTGGGAATTTAGGGAGTTAGCCAAATTTGGGGCTGCTGGTGTGTGGTGTGAAAATTGAGTTGCATAGGGTGCTATTGAGTGAACCTTAAACCTTATTCGAGGACGAATGATCTTAAGTGGGGGAGGATGTAAGGCCCCGTAAAATTCTTCCTAAAAATCGGAATTTCGTGGTGCCAAATTAGGATTATGTGTTAGAGATTGTTGAAATGTTCGGACTTTTTTGGATTGAACTGTACGTTAAAAAGTTAAAGGAACTATTTTGCAGAAGTAGGCATTTCTGCGGCCCATTATGCGGCCGCATAATCACTCTGTGGGCCGCAGAATGGCTGTAGAGTGAAGCAGTCTTTTTGGCCAATTTTGATGTCAATTTCGCAGCCAATTATGCGATCACATATCCATTTCGCGGGCCGCACTTTGGTCGCATAATCATCCTTGGACTTTTGCGGAGGGAGGTTCTGCAGCACATTATGCAACCACAGAACAGGTCTGCGGGCCGCATAATGGTCGCAGAATGAGGGAGACCAGCCTAATTCCCAGGGCCACTTTTTGCGAACTGCAGAACCATTATCCGGTCGCATATGTGACCGCATAACCTGTTCCGGAGCTTCCTTTTATTGTTTTAAAACCCGACCCAACTTCGTTAAAATAGAGGTAAGGCCTATTTTTTAGCTAGTTTTTGATATCTTTAGAGAGAGAGAAAGAGAGTAGAAGAGAGATAAGGTGACCTTCATCAAATTTACTCTTCAATTCTTGCTCAACACCTTGAAAATTATCAAAAAAGGCACCTAGGTCTTCTTCCTAAGAGATTAAGGTTGCTAAATTTCGGATCATCTTAAAGTTTAGGGGAGATCAATTGAGGTATGTATGGCTAAACACCCTTCTTCTTAGAATCGAACCCCTGGCGTTCGTATAATTGGTGTAAGTCCCTAAATTGATCATACTAGAATTGACTGTGTCCTAATGTGTTGTGTTGAAAGAATCATGTTCAATATTTGCTCTAAATGTTTATCCTGTCATCATGCCATTTGGGGATGTGTTTAAAATGTGGAATATGTGTTGAGAAAGGTTAAGAATTCATGTCAAGAAACGAATAAAGGTTGTTGTGCCAATTTGTATGAAAAACCTCTGTGTGCTTAGGATTTTTCAAGCTTTCCCTTATGTGTGCAAATGCCTTACATGATAGGCCTTATTTATGTTGATGATAATGTTATTTTAATGTATAAAAATGGAAACTTGAATTGTAAAATACAACCAAGTGCCAAGAACGACTTAATAAATGAGGCCGCTCGTGACAATGTATTGAAAGATGGGAAAGAAATGTGAAGTGAGATGAATGATTGAAAGGATGATGTCTCAAGTGAGATGGCCTAGTCGATCGGGCCGTGATCGGACGCCATGCCGCACACATGATGGTAACTATGCTGGAAATGATGATTGAAATTGTGGATATGGTTGATGTCTCAAATGAGATGGCTTAGCCGAGATCGAACTCTGTGTAAGAACACAGTGGTATTGTGGATTGTGGCACATGGCACTAAGATTACCAACCTAATAAGATGGAAATTGAACCGAGAACTTATGTGATCCGTACTTGATATTTTAGTATTTGTTTGAAGCTCTTATTGTACATCATGACTGCTTCCCCTTCGTTTCATTGTTCATTCTATTAAGATTGGTGTTTAACTTTACATACTAGTACTATTCGACAATACTAACGTCCCTTTTTCCGGGGGCACTACATCTTTAAATGGATGTAGGCGGTTCCATTGTAGACAATATTGATCGCAGCTAGTGGTGCATCATCATTATCTTCCTAGCGGACTTGGTGAGTCCCATTTCTTCCCGGGGTAATATATTACATCTTTTGTTTATATGTTTACCACGTTTTGAGGTATAGCCGGGGCCTTCATTATCATAAATGTCTTTTATATCTTTAGAGGCTCCTTAGACATTTATGCGGGTTGTGTATGGGTGCTAGAAGGGTCAGGTGGATTATGGTGTATTTTGGACTCTTGTTCTACTAGATTGTAAAGTGTATGTATTTTGAAAACTTAACAATAATGTAGTAAAATGAAGGCCAAATACATAAGCGGACCCTTAAAGTTGTCACAAAATTCCATTTAGAGACCTTAACTATGACCTTAACCTATTGAACACTTAATGTCTCACATAATAGTATCTATTGAACACAAATTTGACAATTCCAAACCAGCTCTAGTGCGTGTACATCAATCTCTTTTGAAGTGGCAAACTAAACCAATTAAAATAATACATGACAGGAAAATAATATAAAGGTACAAAAAAATAGTCAAAATTTGACCCAAAAAATAAGAAAGAGAAAGCAGGTGGCGGCCGGTGGAAGGGAAGGTGTCAGTGGGCGAGAAAGGTCGAGAAATTTATCGGCCGACCGTAAAGCATTTTCCGGTGAAGTCCCATTAGATATACCATTCCTTTCTTCTCTTTTCTTTTCTCCCGTAAACCATGTCTACTAACCTTTTTTTTGCCTTTTTTTCTTCAGATCTTTATTGAATGGAGAAGGAAAGGTGGTCCTTCAATCATAGATAAGCAAACGAAAACAAACATACCGTAATAAGAAAAGAAAGTAGCAAGGAAAAATAAATTGATGGTTACTGATGGTTCTTTTTAGACACCTATTTTATATTTTTTGGTGTTTAAAGCATGGGTGATTCAGACCTACCTTAGATGAAATAGGAGATGGGCAGTTCTGGTGCAATCCGAATAAGTCATAGGTAATACTTGTGGTGATTGTCGGATCTGACGACGGAGAGGGATGTGGTGTGATGATGGCCAGACTTGAAGAGAAGGGAAGGTGGCCGGAGAAGAAAAGGTATCTAGTCATTTTCCGGAAGTAATAAAAGTTTTAGGCTATTCACGCGCTTGGAAGAGATGACAAACACATATATTTACATGTCAGCAAAATGTGTTCAATAGATACACTTGTGTGTAACATCAAATGTTGAATGGGTAAAGGTCATAGTTAAAGTGTCTAAATAAAATTTTGTTACAATTTTAAGGGGCTGCCTATGTATTTGGCCTAAAATGAAATGAATTAGTAATGTTGTAAATATTTGATCCTTCTACTATTTGAACTAATGGAAACACGCCTTCTCTTGATCATAAGTGGGTTGGGTAGAAAGTGTCTAACAGGCTTGCTCGATCGGGTCCACTCGGTTGAGCGTCGATCGTGCTCCCCGAGGTTGGGGCGTGATAAATTTGTGATTATACCTTAGATTTAACATCAAAATTCACGAGAATCGAAAGGAAAATTTGGGAAAAATTGTAAAATCTTTCAAAATGTAAAATGATAATTTGAAGGACGAATTGGTGTCAGAATTTGATAATTTTGGTATGGTTGAACTCATATCGGAATGGGTGTTCGAGTTTTATAAATTTTGTCTGGATCCGAGGTGCAGGTTCGGGGAGTTGACTTTTGTTAACTTTTTGAAAGTTGTGTAAAGATCATAGCTTTGTTAATTGGAATTGTTTTCTCTTGTATTGTTTGATGTATTTAAGTCATCTTTGGCTAGATTGAGCCGAGCAGTGGTGAATTGGTAAAGAAAAAGCTAAATTGAGTATTGAGTTGGCCGAATTGAGGGTTTAAACATAATCTTGGACCGAAAAGTGGGCTTTGAGGCGAGGTACGTCTCCTTTCTAACCTTGTAAGAGGGAATTAACCCCATAGGTGAAATAAGTCAATATGTGTTCCTATTTGTGGGGGCTACATACGCACGGGTGACTAGAGCCCATGCGTAGCTACTATTATGCTTAAATCCGGGTAGTTTAAGACTCAAATCATGCTATACTTGCAATGTCTGCAACCTTCTTGTTAATTTGATTGCTTAAATCACATTGAACTTGCTAAAGGATTTTAAAAGGATAAAATTCGTTTTTCTTGACCGTTAAATGATAATTTGTATTTCCTTGAATAATTTCCCCTTAATAAATTCTTGATTTAGTTGTTTGAATGTGTTTATCTTTTTATGGAGTGGGCCGAACGCCTCGGCAAATTCAATAGATGCGTCTATGGTTCGAGCCGTTCGACCCTCGACAGTGCACAATCTATATGGATCGGGTCGTACGACCTCAGCATGATTTGCGCATGATTGAATTGATTGCTTTGGAATTTATGATAAAGGATATTGCCTCTTTGGCCTGAGATAAATTGGTAAATGATGAGAAATAAATTTGAAAATTTCTTAACTATAAAAGAATTGCTTACTTACTTCATAATATTGAGCTTACAGCCGTTCTATGCAACCTATGTTTAAATTATATCGTTGGCAATTTTACTTATAGCCCATAGTAAGTGTCGGAGTCGACCCCTCGTTACTACTTCTTCGAGGTTAGACTGGATACTTACTAGGTACACATTGTTTTCGTACTCATACTACACTTGCTGTACATTTTGTTGTACATGCACATAAATATATTTAATGGCCTTGTGGGTGCAACGGCGTGGTTAATGCGAGAACTTAGGTGAGCTACATTCCATATTACGACCCGCAGCCAGCAGAGTCTCCTTCAGAGTATTTATATTTTCTTCCCTGTCCAAATTTGTATTCCGGACAGATGATGTATTTTATTCTATTTTCTCGTTGATGCTTATGCACTTGTAACACTGAGTTTTTGGATGATTACGGGTTATTCAGTATTGAGATTGTTAAAAACATTATTATTTAACAATTATTTAACAGTATTGAGATTGTTACTCTGAAATTTCCATCTTCTACTATTTGATTGAAGGAAAACTATGATTTCAAAAATATTAAAATGAGGACCTAAATTAAGTATTTAGTTTTGGCTTGCCTGACAGCGGTGTCCGGCGCCATCACGATTTTTAATGGATTTTGGGTCGTGTCATGTATAATATGTATAGTACGTGTACAACCTGTACATCACCGTGTTCCTCTTCTTCTTATATTATGGGTATTTTTGCTTATGTAATATTATATTTTTCTACATTGGATCACTAAATGTTTTAGATTCTTTGTAAAAGTTAGAAAGGGGATTATTATTTGTGTATAATTGGAAGATGTTTGATGGTTGTGGAGAAAACGGTTGGGTTTGATGGAATTTTGGGGCTGAAAGGATAGTTTTTGACGGGGATTTCACTAGGTATGAAGGATTTGGGATTGATTTGGCGGGATTTCAAAATTTTTTAACTACTAACATTAAGTTTAAAAGAAGGTTAGGCAATTGTTAGAGGTTGGGCTAGCAGCTATTATTGTCGTATTGAGGAGCCAGAGTCTCTCGCTGGTGTTCTGGGTTTCACTTGCTAGCCCTTATAATTAATTGATTTTGGGCTATGAATTGTATGCCTTATTTTATGGCTACCAGTTGTCATTAGTTTTCACCGAGTGGCTACAAATGAATTTCTCTTTTTTGTAGACTCCAATTTGGACATATTTGGAATCCTTGTGCCTCTTGTATCATAAATTGATTATTTGTCATGAAGTTATCGTCAATTGATCCTCGTTTAATTCTTAGTCTTTACTCATTTGCCTTTAGTAATTAAGTGTTTCATTTTCTTATTTGCATCTAATTACTAGTTAATCAATCCAAAAGCAAGCGTTTGGGTTAATCATGGAGTGATCTCCCCGTCCCTAGTATGGCTTCTTGGTGGATCGGTGATGCGACTCACGTTGAGTAATTATATTTGATAACGACCTCCTACCCTAATTGTAGAGTGCGCTTGAGCAACATTAGCTTGCATTCTCAGAAATGACGCTTTGGGATAAGCAAAGACTCCAGTAAGTAAACTCACTTTAATCCCAGAGAGTACTATAGACAACATTAATGGCACCCCGAAATAAAATTTAAAATTAATGTAACAAAACAGTATCCAGAACCACAAAATACAACCAAAAGGAAATTGTACTGAAACTATGCTTCAACATGTCCATGGTACACCGAAACTGGAATAAGAATATTCATCTCTGTGTCACTTTGGAGGATTGTATCGCTTTGGAGGAAAATATAATTAGAAGGAAAAAAAAGAAAGGGAAATGGAAAGCCTAAAGATTGCACAAATAAGAACAAAACCTTGTAGATAACACAACCAAATATACATCAACACATAAGATGAAGGTACAAAGAATCACGGAACAAAACCAATATCTTTGAAGTAGTCATGCTCAAGGGCGCTCCGGGCAGTGATTCTCTTGCTGGGATCCAGGCAAAGCATTTTCTGAAACATCAATAAGCCAGGACATTGAGTAATGGGGCCACATAGATCAGCGCAGTAGATTGAAGTCTAAAATATCATATCATATCATCTGATCATCAAACACTACTCATTGTCCACACGTAAAGACCTACTCATAATCCTAATGAAAAGAGAAGTTTCGAAGTAATTAATTGAATAAAAAACATGAAAATTTCTAATTCGCATAGAAACAAATTGCATCATAACAACCCACCTCCCAACGTCCTCCAAATAAAAAGGACAAATCAGAAGGAAAAGAAAAGAGATACGTGAAGAAAGGAAACAAAGAGGCATAGACTGAAGAGACTGAAAAAGTATAAGAATGCAGATCATGAACCAATTAAAAAGAAAAACGCGTAACACAAGCACAACAATTGGAACATCCTTTTTCTTTAAGAAAATTAATTGTCAGTCTCTTGCTGCTGTTAATGGTTCAATGTCCTTCAACTGTCTACTGATGTTGCAATTTCACGGGCAGAGATTCACAAAGCAGTTAATTGTAGATGCTTTTTATAACAACAACAACCCAGTAAAATCCCACTAGTGGGGTCTGGGGAGGGTAGTGTGTGCTCAGACCTTACCCCTACCCCGAAGGGGTAGAGAGGTTGTAGTCTTGTAGATGCTTTTTATGTCTTTCATTAAAATATCTTTTTCATTAGGAATTAATCGCAAAAGCTGGAGCTTCATTCAAAAACATGATTAACTTTCATGCTCATAAGATACAGATCCCATTTATAAAGTAACTTACACCAATGAGATCAAGGCCTGATGCATCAAGATTTGGGACTACAGTTGCCAAGTCCTGCAAGTTTAAAGGGCACCAATTAAATAATCCATACGATGTTATCCTCGGTCTAGCAGGAGTCAAATTGTTAGGGAAAAAACCATAGAGAAACCTAAATTACCTTAGGTGGCCATTTTGGGAAAGCAGATTTATAATCAGGCAGAGAAGTCACTCCAGGCCACGTATCCTCATTAGGAGTACCCATTACTCTTCATAGACGGAAAAAGTAGAGAATCATGACATCATTGGAAATATTCAATAATCACGAAGCACAAGGAAATGAAACGCTGACATTCCTTGATTCAAGAAACCTCACTCTAGCATTCCCTTTATACAGTTTGATGAAGTTAACATAAAACTTGTTAACACTGACATTTTGGTCATAAAATTCATGAAGCCAATATATGAACCTTCCTTTTCTTTTATAAGGACCAATATATGAACCTCATTAAACCCCCTAAAAGGGGAAGTAAATAGAATAAAAAAAAGTTTTAATATGGAAAGTAAACAGAATAAATTATTGATATGCATATCAGCATGAAGAAATTGACATCACAGGCCATCCGACGGTGAAGTTTACAGTACTCCGAACCATGAGTCTTGCTCATGCCCTTGTATTCTGTTCACCCAGCACCCTACATTGTGCCTGCTTTTTGAGTCCTAATTATTTTGATCGTGATGGATAACAGAGGCCAGAAGGATGTTCCATGCCTATTTCTTTCTAAGAAGGGTCAGTTAATTACAAGGATGAGAAGGGAACTTTTAGATAAGGAGTACAACCTTCCATTTTAAAAGTATTTTTGGATATGTTCTTTTCATAAGAAATAATGCCTTCATGAAAGAACTAAAGATGCATATTTTTCTTATCAGTAAGAAAAATATAAGGAGAACAACTTCCATTATCAAAGTATTTTTGGATATGTTCTTTTCATAAAAAATAATGCCTTCATGAAAGAACTAAAGATGCATATTTTTCTTATCAGTAAGAATTGGTTATGTATACTTTTTTTGAGAAAAGTAACAA